GATCGGCTTTACTTGTCTCTGACGGGTTGTAATATAGTGTTACGAATGGTGAAACTCACTGACGATGCCGACTACGATGCCGGCGAAACGTCTGAGAATGTACGTCTCTTTGACGAGTTGTTGTATGGTGCTAAGAATGGCGAGACTCACTGACGATGCCGGCGAAACGTCTGGGAAAGCGCCCGACTCTGGAAATAATTATGCATACAATGGACTCAGGACAAGGTGCGTTTCTATCAGTCTTCCTACCACCATGACCAAGTTGCGAAAACAAGGTCAAACAACTTCCAAACAACTTCTGTTTGGAATAAAGTTGATCAAGGAATTGAATACATTTTACTTTTTACGAGTTGTGGGACCAAGTAAATAATTCAACGTTATAAATTATAATAACTATTGTAGCAGAGGACTTCGGACAAGATGCGTCAAACTAGGTAGTCCTGACAATATGGCCATGTTGCGAAGACAAGGTCAGATCACCTCTTAAAAATTTAATTTCGAAAATATTGCACAAATGCCGAAGCCGGATAACTCTGAAGTATATCAAAATAAAAATGAATTGATCATGCACGATAGAAAACTAGTATATTTTATTAAAAAGGAAAAAGCAAACCTGAAACCGCCTTCTTTTTCGTTGTTTGCAGGGCGATGAAACTAAAAAGATCAGCAAGAGAGTCAAAATCTTGCGCCTTAGAAGGAGTGTTATTTTGATGCGGTATATCTACTTCAGGCAGAATAGAAACAGACGATATTTTATCTCGCTCTCCCCCAACCTCATTAGTATCTATTCTTTTGTCATCCAATTGTAATGCCTCATCGGTTTCGGTTACCGAAAAGAACGAGGAAGCAGTTGAGTTCTGAGAGCGACATATACTGGCAGGAGAGTGAATTTGGGTGATCGGACTGTAGCCAGTCTCAGGGATTTGAGGTGTACTAGGAGTCGACAAAATGGATGAAGGCATGGCATCTGGAATAAAAGTTGTGAACAAACATGATGGTTAACGCAAATATGGTCAGATTTTATCACATGTACATGCTCATCACTAAAAAGCCTAGCTTCACAGGCAAGAACTAGAAGGAAAGCAGGTTTGGATTGGTAACTATGCGTTATACTAAATTCACATGAAATATGCAAATGAACATAAATTTCCAGATTCATTCCGGAAAAGAGCAAAATAACTAAAGGCAATTGGTTATGCCATCAAAAAAGAAGAAATTTCGCGTTTGGTGTTTAGCAACCTGTTTGTCCCAAAATTATAATTTAATTTAAGTATACCTGCTCTAATATGGAAATATAAAATATAATAAGAAAACGAGATTCGTTACCTCGAGGAGTACACAATTTACAAGATTCCATAGATGAACTGAGCTAAATAATCAAACTGCAAACCTTTTGAGCGAATTATAGTAAAAGCCAGAGTTTGATCCTACTCATAAGTCGCAAAAATTCCGTTTAAAGTTAATGAGAAAATGATGAGACACATCAAATGGTACAAAAACGAAATTAATTACAATAGCTAGAGATTGATTAAAATAATATTCCATCCACATTGCATCAAAATATGATGTAAATATAAAATTATGTGATGTCTATGCGATATGATGCCGAGACCAATTAGATCAAATGACAATAATTAAATCTCTTAATAATCTATAAATAGGCCACATAATAAAGCATGTTAAAATGGTAATATGAGCAAGAGCCAATTAACGAAAGACGAAATTTAATTTGACAATAATTGATATCGGAGGTTAAAGAGAGAATCCATACACATATACTAGCCTATATAATAAGTAATATGTTGGATCAAAGGGTGGTTCCACTAATCACTGATGCAATAATGCTATCAAGGTTGTCTAAACATAATGTATTTTTCATAGCGATAAAATGTTTGCTATAAATAAACTACAAATTATATTTGGCAGCTAATTTAGTATGAGCCGAAATAAGAAGCAGTCAATCTTAGTTATTTTAAAAAGGAGTACTAAAGAACTCATGAGAAAGAATGATAAAGAAGCAAAAATATTTGGGACATTAATACACACAAAGATAAATTTCACCTACTAAGAACATGGGCAAGAGACGAATTCAACTGCTCTTGAGGCAATGAGTGCGCATTTGCTTTCTTGGGAGTTGCCCAATCAGGGGATTTTTCGCCGCTGCCAAGAGCACAATCAAGCACACTGTTCTTGACCCATGGAGAAATGCATGAGTGTACGGGGCCAACTGTAGGATTTGTAGACTCCGAGGATGAAGCAAAAATAGGCAGATTGATCATGGGTGTTAAATCGGAGGTTCCCGGTTTATCCACGGATAACTCCTTTTTCTCCAAATTCGAGTGCTGAGCAAAAGCGAGATAATTACTATTTTGAAAGGAAGCAGGGCAGTCAACAGGATGAGCATGCTTGTCTTCTGCCAAAGTGCATAAGTCGTAGTTAGGAGGTGTGATAATTTGAGAGAAAGGATCACCAGACGAACAGCACAAATGTAACGAATCATTGAGTCCACCTGTTTTAACATGAGAGGATTTTGTGACATAGTTGAGTAAAATAGAATCAGATGAGCGATCTAGAGAATGATCACCTGATTCAGATATTTGATCGGCGATTCTGTGGAAAAAAACATCAAAAAATGAAATGTGATAAAGTAAAGCCATTTTCCTAATTAAATCAGAATTATTGACAAATAAAATAAAATATTCGATCTAGTTACCGTCTCGAAAGCAATTTACTACTATAAAAACTTTAGATAAAGCTAGGCCCTATATGTAAAAGAATAAAATGTTATAAGGTAATAAAATTTTAAAGAACAAGTTCATAATAAGTTGACCATATAAAGGGCCTAAACGTAGTAAGCGTAAAGATTAAGAAAAAATTGAGACGATG